GAGCACATTGTCAGTGTCTAAGTGCTTTTTTGCAGGCCTTCTTCAGTTGAAAGTTTAGCAAGCCTTATCTGTTCTTTCCAGAATATTTACTCTCTCTCTTGCTTCAGAATGTGGCTACCACCCTGCCTTTATCTGGGAGGGCAGCCTCTCCCCCTCACTTAGTCTGCAGTATTGAGAAACTCCCACTTTTAGGCTTTTAGGCTGCAATGTAAGGAGCTGGTGGACTTGCAGCATCAGGAGATCTTACTGTGTCGATCTGATAATAGTATTGTCTCAAAATAGATTAGAAAGCCAATGCCACTTCCACTGCACCTTGGGTCCCAGCCACTCCTTAAACAGACTTGACAATATTGTGATAGTTGGCATTTTAGATGAGCCACATAATCTTTGAACAATCAGTCATTTGGAGTTTGCTTACAGGCTCATGCCTTTCTCCGGTTTTAATCGCAGTTCACCATATTTTATGCAAGAGCACATAAGATTGGTGGCTTAGAAGGACAGACATCCACAAATGATTTCATTTATACCCTTTTCTTCCTCTTTTTGTGGTCCCCAACCAGAGAATGTTGACTCAGACCATCCTTCCCACCCACAGAGATGCTTCTCTCTCCTTTCAGTATTGTGCACCTGTTCTTGGTAACATGCTCCATTGATCCATGGTTTCCTGGGTCACATTATTGAGCAATGTTTTATATATATATGTTGTAGGTGGTGGGAATGGCACCAGGTGTTAGGACCGTGGGGTCAGACCAAACCTGGGTTCAGCAACCTCAGTACTTGGGTTCTGGCTAGGAAAGAATTCAGAGCCAAGACCCAAACTGTAAGAGAACATTTATTTTGTTAATCACAGAGGTAGAGGAAGTAATTCCCAGAGGAAATGGGTTTAGGAAACGAGTTATAAAGGCAGAAAAAGGGCCCTTGGAGCTTGGGAGTGAGGAAGCTAATCCTGAGGTGCTAGGGCTGGGCACGGGGGTGGGGGGTGCGGGGGGGTGTGCACAGGCATGCTCCCAGGAGGGAGAGCACCGAGTCCTTCATCCTGATGGTTTTAAGGGAGGAGATCTTAGGGGAGGCTCCAGGGGAAGATCTTAATAGAATTTTCAGCAGTTTTCTAAGTGTGTCCTTTCTGGGTCGTGGTCTCCACTGATTGGTTGGCTCCAGGTCCTGAGGTCAGCTGTGGCTGGTTTTGTTGCTTTTCTGGGCCTGGAGCTGAAATACAGCTGAGGCCTAGATGTTATCTCTAGGGAGGAATGGTTAGGGGTCCAAACCACAAGACCAGTGATATGCTAGGGGAGGAAAGTCCACCCTGGAGGGGAGGCCCCACCCTACAGTTGTCCTTGCTGGGCACCTGGGGCTTTCCATTCTGATTACCTTCTGTACCTTGCTGGTGGTCCTTGCTCTCCTGATGTCTGTCTAACTGCCTATCACATATATATGTATGTGTTTATCTTTTCCTTCATTTTAACCTAAATGTTTCTTATGTGACCATTTAGTGTTATATTCTTAGTTGCAGCCCCTGCCAGTGGTTGGACAGTAACATTATCTTGGGTTTATTTACTATTACTTAATGTTTATGTAGTGTGTTCTCGTATTAGCCCATGAAAAGACTATGAAATAAGTCTGAGTAACTTTAGGAAACTGAGCTTCATGATTTTATAAATGCCTAAGAATTTGGGGGTTGTAGATGCTTTTAAAATGCAGGGGAAAAAGATTCAGAAGGACAGAGGAGGAGCTAGAAGAGGGAATTGGTAAAGCCGTAGGGGAAGGAACACAAAGGCACAGCTGACATGGGCCCCCAGGTGTTTAGGTGCCAGGAACAATTATTTTAAGTCCCACTTGGTACCTCCAATTGAAGCATTGTTGTTGAGTGTTTTTCCTGTATTAAACGAGGAGAGTCATTTTACTCATTTGTTATCAGTGGACTTTGTATCAAGTATCCCAGAGCTTTTGTATCAACTAGGTGACCTGGGCCTGAGGGCACAGGAGGAGGGAACTTGGGCAGTGGAATCGGGTGGGAGGCAGGGAAGGAAGGGTCATAGGCTCTGGGATGGGCAGAGACAGTATAATGTTAGCTCGACCATCTGCTGGGTGTGACTTTGGGCAGGCTCATTAACCTTGGAGAGTCTTTCCCTATCTGAAAGGTGGGGTTCAAACGAGAGGGAAGAAGTGTCTACCACCATGTCTGGTAGGAGAGGAGGCTCCTAATTCTTTTCTCCCTTCTCTTGAGTCTCTCATCTTAGTCTAGAGCAGAGAACAAGGCACAGAAACTTGAGGTTTTTTGGTTTGTTTTTTGTAATCCTCACCTGAGGACATTACTTAGAGGAAGGGAGAGAGAGAGAGAAACATCAATGTGGGAGAGAAACATCCATCGGTTGCCTTCCATATGTGCCCTGACTGGGAATCGAGCCAGCGACCTTTCGGTGCGCAGGACGATGCTCGACCAACTGAGCCACTTCAGCCAGGCAAAGCTTGAGTTTTAAAAACCACCGTGCTGAGTAAAGATGCGTGTATGTGAGGGGGGAGGTTTGTCCCAGACAGTAGTGATTAAAAGTCCATGTACTAGCTGAAGACGGGGTAAGGTCCAGGGCACATTCTAAACTTCCTCACGTTATCAGCACCATAGGAAATTAGGTTAACTGTCCTTTGTTCTGGACGTTGCATTATGTTTGGCGACTCGGAGGGATCTATATAAAGATTAATACTTTCTCCTTTCCGCACATGCTTCCTAATAGCCCCTCACAAATACTATATTGGATTCCGGTATGTCCACCCTTTAACAGAAGAAGCGATTGAAGAGATGGAGAGAGATGGGCTTGAAAGGGCTGTTGCTTTCACGCAGTACCCACAGTACAGCTGCTCTACCACAGGTAAGAGCTCCTCTGCAGTGGGAGGGTGGGCAGGGCCCTGGCAGAAATAGCCAGGGAACCTGAGCGAGGGAGGAAAGGATAAATCCTCTGTGATCTGAATGGCAGATCCAGTCTGTCTGCTTTACACTTGAGAGTTCAGGTCAGTCCATTGGAAACCTCATGGTCCATCTGTCCCTTAAGTTATTGGCCAGTCGGCTGAGAATTACAAATGGTGGTGGAAGGCGGTGGCTGCTGGTGTTCGGGGCTTTAATGCAGCTATATCATGGACCAGGAATGAACCTTAAGCCGCTTTCTACACTTGGGTAATAAACCTATTTTTATGGCTACCCTAATATTCTTACTAATGTGGCACAGGTGGTCGCTGTTTGCATTTTGAAAGCAGAGGTGCCCATATAACATTGGGAATATTGGTACGTTTGTTTGCTATGCTTCAGTTATGGGTTGGTTACTGGTTAAACCAGAGCCCAGTTTGAGGTTCCCTCTGCAAACTTGGAATTCTGGATTTTGGAAAATATGACTATGTGTTATTTCCTATATATGTAACTGGAGCAGGAGGATAATCTGCCTTTGCCCCTCCCTGTCTCAGCAACTGTAGGCGATGCCTCTACTGTCACCCACAAATACATTTGTTTGTATTCTGTTTCAAGGATTGGGGTCAGCACACTTTTACTCCCAAATTGCTTTTGGATATCAGGGCATATTGTTTCTATAACTATAAGGAGACAGAAAAGGCCACTGGAAGACATATTCAAAGCCTGCTGCACTCGGGGCGCCTATGAAAATGCCTGAGCTCTCAGACACCCTCAAGAGTTTGAACTGTGATTTCTTTTGGAAATGTACCTCTACAACTTCACAATGTCTGGTGATTTGTTATTGGAGAAGGAATCAGATTTTATAAGTTTCTAAGCTATACTTTTGCCCTGCTTTAAAACATATATCTCAACATGTAAGCGTCTGCTCTCAAAATTAGGCAACTTAAGAAGATCGTTACTTATGTGATGAAGGATGCACTGTGGGTTTTGTTTCACAGCTGGCTCTGTTAGTGTGTCTAAAACATCAGTGTCTGTGCAGTTTTCCTTCAGTGCATCTCATGTGTAACGGCATCTACCTCTTCACTCAGAGATGTGACAGGCTTTGGGAAGTGCACTCATTCTTTGAGGCCACTAGGGTGTCGTTTATCTGTTGTATCTTTTAAACACACGTGTAGCAGGACTAGTATATTCTGTGTATCAGTCACAAGTGATTTTTTTCAGTTATATTTTCGTCTTAATTACTACTTCTGGTAGTTCATGGAATGTTTTTGAGTGACCCAGAACAACTAATGTGGCTTCCAGAAGTCCTTTTGTACATCTGAAAATAATATTCAACCAGCAGAATGTGGTTTGCAATGTGAATATGGTGGTGACTTCTACTTTGTAATTTCTGGAGAGATTGTTTTTGAACCTGGAATGGACTCAGTTTGGATTCCTCTGATTCATTGTATTCTACTCACCAAAGTGGAACTCATTTATTTTTTAAAAGTTGAGTCTTAGCCTAAGAGTACTTCTTTGATTTAAAATGGTTCTGTCCTGACTAGCATTTTAAGCTGGAAACCTAACTGATTAATAGTTCTCATAGTTAGAGAAACCAGTAGATGGGCGTTGGGAAGCATGACATGTTTTGGAACTTTTACTCTACATTAAGATTGAGGATCAGTTTCATAGGATTAAGGCTTGGCCCCAGGTGCAGCTCCCCTAGGCCAGGGTCGAGTTGCATTGGGTTGGCACCATTTACCTTTCTTTAGGCTTTAAATTTTCGTGGTTTCCATCTCTTCCTTAGAAATACAAGTTTTATTAGATTACTTCTAAGGTTTTGATATCCATTTAACTTATTTAGGGAATGCTGATAATTTTATAAAAGCAGATAATAAGAGTCCTCATAGAAACCTCAACAAGCTGCTGCTGTTGTTTTTTATCAACAAGCCATTAAAAAGGATGGTTATAAAGCTTTTATTATAATATGGGAAGCATTCATTTCATAGTATTAACTAAAAATGCCCCAGATGCTCAGGATGCAAAATTGCTTATATACTAAAATTACAACTCTATAAAACAAGATAGCTAAAAAGAAACCCAACTGGAAAGAACTACGCTAGAATACAACTGGCTGTATTAGTAAGCTGGGATCATGACCGGCTTGCTTCCTTCTTTCCTGCCCCCTGCATTTTCTGTAATCGAGTTGATTACCTTCATAGTGGGGGAAAAAAGCATTTCAACATGCTTTTCATTGTAAGACTTGGTCCCTGCAAATAACAACCGCTTATATTTCATAAATCCACTGCCATCGTGTTTCTCACAGGAAATGACCTCAATAATCTTTGAAAGGCCTTTGAAATTGATTATTTTTTAGCGATCTTCATTTCAGGGTAGTAAAATCTATATGCATTTTAGAGTATTGAAATGATTATAATTAGACTGATTCAGTATAGAAGCAGTGCCTATTTTGAACTTACAATTATTGCCTTTACTGGTCTTGTTTTTTATTTTCACCATAGTCAGTGGGCACCTACTAAGTGGCCCCTCTGTATTTCAGGTAGCAGCTTAAATGCCATTTACAGATACTATAGTGAAGTGGGAAAGAAGCCCATGATGAAGTGGAGCACGATTGACAGGTGGCCCACACACCCCCTCCTCATTCAGGTAAGCAGCACTACCAGCAGCCTGTCACCCCGCTTCTGCATGGTCCAGGTTCTTGCCTTTGCCTTGTAGCCAGGTATCCCTCTGAGCCTCACCATTCCCTCGCTTAACTTGTACGCTGGGGATTAAAAAAAGGATTAGAGTCTTGATTTATTATGACAAGAGAAAATACACTTAAAGATTAAAGGTTCAACTCTTTTCTTTCTTCAGGTTAATACTGTTAGTCACAAGCCATAGCAGAATTATATTTTGAGTTTTTTGTTTCCCAGTGACCAGAAGAACATTAAAGATTACGCAAGGTGTTCCTGCTAATGTACGTTCATAGACTGAATGACAGACAAATAAATCCTCTACTTTCTAAAGCCTTTAAAATGTCAAAAAAATTTAAAACTTAAAGGTCTACATGTTTTGAGACATGAAAATAAATTTAACATTTCAATTGAGAAAGTTTCACAGAAGAAATTTCAAAATTCTTCTACATAATTATTTATAATATTTATATTAGTAGGTGCTTGGTCTTAGGAGAATCAGTATAAACTACAATTCTAAAGCCAATGGCTTTTTGTTTTTAATTTTATTTTTTAATTACAGTTTACATTCAGTACTATTTTGTGTTAGTTTTAGGTGTACAGATTAGAGGTTAGGCGATCATATACCTAATCATATGCAACGTGGCCCTCCAATATTTCAAGTATCCATCTGACACCATACATAATTATTGCAATATTATTGACTATATTTCCTATGCTGCATTTTACATCCCTCAGACTATTTTGTGACTACTGATTTGTACTTTTTAATCCCTTCACCTTTTCTAGCCAGACGCCCAATCCCCCTCGTCTCTGGCAACCATCACACTGTTCTTCTGTATCTATGAGTCTGTTTCTATTTTGTTTGTTCATTTATTTTATTCTTAGATTTCACGTGTAAGTGAAATCATATGGTATTTGTCTTTCTTGGTCTGACTTATTTCACTTAGCATAATATGCTCTAGGTTCATCTATGCTGTTGCAAATGGTAAGATAGCTTTAATTTTTTTTAAATCCTTTTTTGCTCTTTGAATACCAGAGTACTATTGGGATTGCCCTGAATCATGAACAGATAGTTTTGTTCTGTCGGTGGACGTTTTTGCCTTTGAGTTAGTTGAGGTAGGAGAAATATTAAGTGATTCAGATTTCACCCAGTCTGTGTTTCATTCCTTGGACATCCTCTGACTGGTAAAATACCAGCTTAACCTTTTTAAAAAGCCTGGAGTCACTTAAAATCCACAACCACTAGATGGTGCTAGACATTGTTAAAAGCAGGCCAGCTCTCCTCCGAGCAGACAGTTCCTTATGCATTTAGAAGTCAAGGGTTAATAGGTTGAAATCCAGTATTAAGTAAAAAGTGAAAAGAGGGTGCCTTCTCTTAGGGATGGGTGTAGATTTGGTCTCGGTGTCCCCCCACTTGTTTGCTCTGCTGCTGGGTCCAGCCAGTATCGCCTGAAGCCCCAGCATGCCCTGATTCTTGCTCTTGGAGGCCTGGACTGGAAACTAAGGGTGTTTCAGGTCAGCACTGACATGTGGTAGCAGAGAACTGCGGGGTCTGCACAGCATCTGCCTGCCCCGATCCAGTGAGTAATTAGATTTGCATTAAAATTCAGCCATTTGAAAAGGGGGGAAGCAGAAAGATGGAAAGGCCTCTTAACTGAGGAAGTCTCCGTTCATAAAATGAAAGGGAATCTTAGAGGCATTTATCTGCCCTCCTAGATGGTGTGATTGAAGGCTCTGAGAGCCGCCTGCCCCTTTCATTCTGCTGAGGGCTTGTGCATAGAAAACACCACAGATGGATCCTAGATGATTTAAGTAGCACTTGGGCTTGCCCATGGCACCTCAGTTTTGGCGGTGGCTTAAGGTCTGCTGTAAGGCAGAACAAACTGTGTTTGTACTTGCAGGTTTGCAAGAAGAGAAAAGGAAAAATACTAAACTTCTTTGGAAACACAAATTTATACATGGATTTTATTCTTAATATTATGTAGATTATATGAGAAGGAGATTTGCTATCTAGCAGAAGTAGAAAAAACACACAAACCCAAACCTGGACCCTAAACTAAACTAAAACTAAAAATACAGTTAAAAACTAAAACTATAAATTTTTTAAATCAACATTCCTACTTATCATAAGCAGCCTTTACTGAAAACGGTCATTTTATCAGTTACACAGCTGTTGGAATAACTGAAGTCAGTGGATGTCCCCGGCTCCTCTGTAAACTTCACAGTGGGACTCCTCACCCAGCTTTTGTCCAGAAATAGTCCTTGGTGAGCACCCTCAGTTTCCAAACACTGCAGAGTCCACCAGAAAATACTGTTCTTTTGTTTTTTGTATGTAATCCTATCACATCCTATAAGTAAATTATAAATTTTGAAAAGGAAACTAACTCTGTATGCACCATTTTGTGCCTTGGGGCATTTATTCGCCCAACTTTGGGGGTTCTGGAAAGATAAATAATATCTCAGTATTTATTGGGGAGTAATTTGCTCATCCTAAAATGGTATATACCCAGATAACAACAAGTATAAATTCTGGTAAATTGTCCTTTATAATGTTTTAAAAACCTTTTTATTTGGAAATAATTTCAAACATGCAGAAAAGTTAAAAGACTAAGAGTAGTATAAGGGACTCTCGTCTACTCTTTACCTAGATTCATGTATTATTAATACTAACATTTATCTCTGTGTGTGTGTCTATGTCTATATATACATAATTTTTTTCCTGAACCTTTTGAGAATAAGTTTTAAATATATACATATATAAAATCACCCTTTTCACCTAAATAGCAGGGATAGTTCTTCTGTAACCATGATATAATATTCGACTTCAGTAAATTTAACATTGACTAATTTATCTAATCCATGCTTATATTAGAATTTTGTCAATTGACCCGTTAATGTTCTTTGTAGCATTTGCTTTATAAGTGAAATGACAAAGAATGATTAAAGTGTAAGATGAAAGAAAGCCTCCTCAGATCTGGGATTTCAGCACCTATTGATGTGAATTGGAAAGTGCCAACTAGACGAAGGGAATTAACTGGTCTGGTCGACAGAGGTTTGGGGGAGGAGGCGGCCTGCGTTCTAGCCCAGGTTCCGCAGATGTGACTGAATGGGCCCCCACGTCGGCGCATCTTTCCGCCCTCTGTGAATTTAATGGGAGTTTTACAACCTCTCATCTGTTGTTGTGAAGGTTGTTATGAAGATTGACTCGGTGAGGATGTTGGGCTCAGAAGGAAAAGGTCATAAAAATAGATAATATTTTCTTATTCCTCTACTATTTCTGTCTAATGTATTTTAATACAATATGCCTGAAAGCCAAACTAAGGAGATTTAGAAAGACCCCGTAAGCTGTTTTCCTGCTAACAGAGCAAATGGGAGGTCTTAAAACAACTTCTCCTTCCCATCTGTGTTTCCTTTCCATCTGGAAGTGTGCCCTGTTCCTCCCGAGGGGCAGCAGCTCCAGAGCGTTCATTTTCAGTGAGCCATTAGCGAGCTTTAGAAGTTTCCCATCAAATTCCCCAGGCCCCTGAAACCGTTATGAGCCATTTTGATGATGAACCAAAGCAAGAGAGACTGTACTGTTTGCAGTTTTTAAAAAAGAGCGTTCAGAGCCTTGAGGGTTGCTCTGACAGTTTTGGTGTCTCTCATTGTTAAGACGCTGTCTTTTCCCTCCACCTCCTGCTCCCCACTTGCTCCTGATGCCCTTTCTTGGTATTTCTGCAGTGCTTTGCAGACCACATTCAGAAAGAGCTGGACCATTTTCCACCGGAGAAGAGGGGCGAGGTGGTCATTCTTTTTTCTGCTCACTCACTGCCAATGTCTGTAAGTACGAACATTTTGTCAGATGACCTCATGGGAGAGGATTTCTAAACGTGTAGCATGGACCCAGCTTCCACAATGTCCTGAATTCTAAAATCTCAGACTTAACATGGTGCTCATTTAACTCAACCCACTTCTTGATACCTAAGAATAACTCATTCAAATTATAATATTTATAATTTATGGTATAGAGTGGGGCAAAATAAGTTTACAGTTGTTTATATGGAAAATAATACAGTAATTAATGGATAATAGTAGAAGAATAAACTGTTCCGCATACTCACAACTGTAAACCTACTTTTGACCCACCCTGTATAAAAATTATAATACCTTGAAGATATAAAGATTTTTAATAAGCGGCCCAGTGAAATGAAGACTGCTCTTCTGCCTGGTGTTTCAGTGGGTTCATCATAGGCCCCCCATTCAGACTGAGCTCTCTCAAGCTCATTCTTTCGTCCTCAAGACTTGACAGGGGCTGCCTGAATTAAGCGATTATGTTGTGGTTTTTTTAATCTTCACCTGAGGATTTTTTGTTTTAATTGATTTTAAAGAGAGAGGAAGGGGGGGAGAGAGGAAGGGGGAGAAGCACCAGTTGGTTGCCTCTTTTATGTGCCTCAACTGGGAATCGAACCTGCGACCTTTTAGTCCCGGGACGATGCTCCAGCCAACCAAGCGACACGGCCAGGCCACGATGACGGGTTTTAACTTGCTAAGACTGCAGACCTCTCTTTGGCAAGCGGATACAGAGCATATAGAACAAGAATGATCCAGCGAGTGTCTCGTGTGATATGTGGAAGTGCTTGGAATAAGCAGCCAGTTTCATCAGCTCAGAGCCAGCATCGTGTCCTACAGACATTGCTTTCAAAGCTGGAGAGGTGGAGAATTTCATTTTCTTAGGTATTACCAGGCTTTAGCTCCAGGATTAATGGAGTCAATGTGAGTCTGGGCCACTCTTCTACTCGGTCTTTACTGCCACCTGGTGGTCACAAGGGTCGAGCCCTCTGCAGCTTTTCCACTCCTGTCTGAGCTAAGCCGTTGCCGTTTCAGCGGTGTGGGCCCTGGAGATCGACTTCTCTCCTCTGGAAGCCTGCCTGTTCGATTTGGACAGGTTCATAGCCTCTGTTTCTGGCATTATGCAAATCTTCACACGTCCACCTTCCTTCTCCACCCTCACCCTATTTATAACTGTCCCAGTGTGATGAGGCCACGTCTGAAGTGCCAGAAGGGAAGCTCTTGAACTGGGAAAGGAGGAAACACATTTTTACACATGAACGTTTCCAGGTGCTGCCTTCCCTCCTCTCACCCTCGGCCCCGCTTCTCTTTCTCCCCCTCTGAGTCTGAGCATGCTGCTTCCAGGTTTTTTTGCTGCCCAAGGGTCCTGTGTGGGACTGAGGAATGCCACGAAGTCATGCGGATAGGAAGGGCGGGGGGAGCGTGGGGTTGTCGAGGAGGGAAACTGATGTAGCCATTACCCCCCTTCGTGGCTTTTAAAAATCTTATTTTCAAAAGAATTTTAGATTTACAGAAAATTTGTGAAAATAGTGCCATATCCCCTTCACGTAGCTATGCCTGATGTTGACGTCTCACATAACCGTGGGGCAGTGGTCAGAACTAAGAACCCACCCACGTGCAGTACTGCTAAGTAAAGGTCACCACTTCTCCCACAATGGCCTTTTCCTGTTCCGGGATCCAATCAGGAGCCCACATCCCATTCAGTTGTCATGTCTCCTCGTGTCCTCTGATCTGCCCTTTCATGACCTTGATGTTTGTGAAGACTGATTTTGTAGAATGCCAGCAATTGTGTGGCATGCCCCTCCGTTTGGATGTGCCCGGTGTTTCCTATGATTACACTGAGGTTGTGCATTGGAGAGAAGGGTACCCTGGGGCTGACCTGTCCTCAGGCATCATCTCAGGGACACGTGATGACGAGGGTGCCTTACTGCTGGTGGTGTGCTTGTCGGTCATGTGTCTAAGGTGGTGTTGCTGGATTTGTCCATGGTGTAGTTACTCTTTTTCTTTTTATAATAAAAAATCTCTTAGGGGAGAGTCTTCGAGACTTTGCAGGCGTCTTGTTTCTCATATTTTTGCCCCTCATTTTAGCACCCATTGGTGGATCTTTCCTGTAGCAGTTATTTCTGTGCTATTCTGATGGTGACTTTATGTTTTCCTCATTCCGTCTACATTTATGTTTCTAATGGTTTTTTAACTAATTTTTAGTAATATCATAAAGTAGTTCATCAGTATTTCATGTCAACAGTAGTTATTGAGCACTGTTCTATCCACTATCACAGGATCTGGGAATGAACAAAATAGACACAAATCTTTGCCCCTAGAGAGTGGAGGAAACAGATAATAAACATAATATATAAGAAAAGATTACAGTTATATTAGGAGGTAATAAGTGTTATGGGAAGAAACACGGCAGGGTAAAGGTGTTAGGGCGCCAGCACACAACTAAACATTAAAGCAATAAAAATACAATTTTTATTGAACATTTTCAAGGGATTAACAAGCTGTTCTGACTGTCAGAAGCGTTTATCAGACATTCGCCGTACGCAGAGCGTTCGTCTACAGTCCGTTGTGGGAAGAGTGGGCAGAGAAAAGGAATTAGAAGGCACAGGTCACATTCTTGAGGACCCTGGGATCTGAACCCATGTGCTGCTTCTCGCGTCTCTCATTCCACGAGCGTTTACCCCTTTTGTTTCCCTGGACCCCATAAACTCAGTTCTATGCACTGTCCATATGCTGCTCGTTCAGTTCCTGTTCCAGAGTCAGCCCCTCCAGTGATACCAGGACAGAAGTCCCATGCCATGTTGACTCTTCCTGCCCAGCTTTCCTGTGCCAGTCCCCTATTTCAGATGGGGCACAGAGAGACCCATCATCCATCATTGTATATTGTCAATCTCCCACGAATAATGTGGAACATAGAGTTTGACATTTTCTTAGGGACCGTAGAGATCATTGACCTTTGGCCAATGAAAAAATGGACCCCAGGAAGTTTGGTGACTAAGCTGATACTGTGCTGTCTTAGTGCAGAGGCAGGAGGGGAGGACTCTGGTCTGGGGCTCACATCATTTCACGGCACTGTCCCAGGCCCTCAGAGCCCGTCACAGTGCTGTGACTCAACACCCATGTGTCTCTGCTGCAGGTGGTCAACAGAGGGGACCCCTATCCTCAGGAGGTGGGCGCCACTGTCCAGAGAGTCATGGAGAAGCTGGGTTACTCCCACCCCTACCGACTGGTTTGGCAGTCCAAGGTAGGTGGCTTCCACAGGTTCGCGGCTGTCGGCTCTTCTGAGGACGTCTATTTTAGGACTTAGTTATAAAACGATGAGATTTGGCTCTTTTGTATAGACAGACTGTTGTGTAACCTGATTGCTCACCGTGGACAGAAAGAACTCCGCAGGCAAGTCAGACAGAAGGGGAAATCGAGTGACTAGATGAGTTCCATTGACTTCAAATATTATTTCTAGATGTAATGACACTAATTGTTATTTATAGTCTGCCAACTTCTAGAAGGATTCAGACTTCAGTGTGAAAATTCCAAGCCCACTGAAGCAGGTGTAACGTGTGGCCCTTGCTCTCAAGGGAGGTGTGTGTGCCCAGGGCAGTGCTGCACCAGAGACCACGGAGCAGCGGGGCCCATGTGCATTTCTCCTTCCTCCTAGGTTGGTCCGATGCCCTGGCTGGGCCCTCAGACAGACGAGACTATCAGAGGGCTTTGCGAGAGGGGGTGGAAGAACATCCTTTTGGTCCCGATAGCATTTACCAGCGATCACATTGAGACACTGTATGAACTGGACATCGAGTACTCTCAAGTCCTGGCTAACGAGGTAAATGCTGCCTGCCGTCTGCCTTGCTAATCCCACTGTGCTTGTTTTAGAGGGAAACTTTCTCTGCCGTGGTCTAACTGTGTCTCTCAGAAATACTGCTTGGTGCGTGTTTGCAGGTACTGTGCCCTCCTTGTTCTGATGCTACTTAATCTGAGTTATAAGTCTGATCACATCAAGTCAATTCCACGTCCGAGGTGGGGAAGCACTTTTGTGCGTTTCTGAAGTCAGGGGGCCACTATAGGCGACATCGTAGTGTTTAATTTGGGCATTGTACTACTTGAAAGTCATAAAAACTACATTTTGTTGTTCTATAATTCCTTTTCTTCACTTAATAGTGTCCTTTGGGTTTCTGAGGCGTAGGCATCATTGTCACTTAGGAAAAGAGCATGTAATTTTCTTGATCACTTTTTTTATGCACTTGTTTGTTTGCTCCTGTGTTGTTATTAATCTGATTATTGAAATAAATACCATCCTTAGTGTCTTGTAAGATGGATGTGAATCGGCATTCAGAGCTGAGAAAAACTGTGGTTCACCCATCTCATGGCTTCCGAGGGTTGGCATGAAACTCGAGTCCAATTTATAGCATTGTTTCTGTGGGAATTGTGGAAGCGTTGGGACCCAAGAGGCCCTTCCCCCGCATCTCCTGCCAGAACTCCTGTCCCTGGTCACTCTTGTGTGATTGATGGAGGCCTGGCCTCGAAGGATCCTCCACCCTCTCTGGGGCTGGTGGCAGGTGCAGGGCAGGGTGGAGAGTGGGCTGGAGGAGGGCTTCAGCCAGCACCCAACCCCGCAGGGTTTTGTGTGCATGCTGCTCATCAATCAAGCGCTGATGAAGTTAGAGGGTGCCTAAATTACGTGTCAGTGGTTCTGATAAAGAATTTATGCGGAAGTTGTAATTGGCTAAAATGAGGTTGCAGGGTTGTCCATGTATTTCATTGAGTGATGCCTTCTGCATCCCACCATGACCTAGGCTAATTGTGAGCTTGCTAAAAAGACTTAAGTGCGAATATAGTTCACACCAGTGTGTTTTGGAAAACAAGTTTTTTGTTCATATTGAACGATAGTTCACATTCTTTAATATGACTAAACTGAGGTATTTCCTTAGTAATCCATGGGCTATTAGTGACTAATAAATTAGTCCATACAGAGAATAAAGAAAACTATCTAGCTACAATTTATTTCACTATTTCTATTGGAGAATATACTGTATTTAAAACAACTAACTTTCTTTAAAAAGTAGTTTGAATGTTTTCCTCAAATAGAAATAACTTTACTGCTTTTTGATAATAAAAATAATATAGAGCTCAGACAGTTTAGAGAAGTATAACATAGATAGCAGAACTCAGAATCTTACCCCTCAGGCATAATATGTTAATACCTAAATAAAAATAAGACCCCTTTCTCCTCTAAATGCGTGTGTATTTTAATTAAAATGTTATTCTTCTACACGTTTAACAAAAGTGGTATTTTATTCCTAATGTTTTGCAGCTTTTTTCTTAAACATATATATAGACCCAAATCAATAAGTATATTTAGATCTATGTAATTATTTTTAACAGATTCTTAATTAGTATACATTAAAGATGTTCCTAATTTTTTACTGTCATAAACTGCTCTGTAATGAACATTGTTTCCTTTTTTATTTTTCCCATTCTTTTCTGAGGATAAATTCCTAGAAGTGGGATGTAAATGTTGACATATTTTACCTCATTTCCCTACTGAAATGCACCCTTTAATTTTTCTCCTGGCAGCAGTGTCTGAGAGCACTGTTGGCCAGCCCTGGTCGCCTTGCTGTTACTGACTTCTTCATGAAGTTTTAGAGAGCAGTTGCTGGTTGAGAAGTGTGTGTTTGCTGAATCTCAGCGTTTTCCCCATGCTGCTCTTCTAATGTTAATGCTTCCTTAAAAGATAAAGCACCTGGAAAGCCATCAGCATTTTGGAAAGTGGAAGAGAAGATCCTAACTACCTGAGTAAATAATAATGAGATATTTCTCACTTATTTGGGGGATAATTAACTAGCTATTTTTGGAGAGGAGAGTAAGGATGGTAGTGAAACAATGCTCAGATTTTTATTTTAGATTTTTTAAAATTTAAGGGTATATTTAAAATCCCAACTCTGAATTGGATCCCATCTAGGTTCAATATACATTAAATTAATTTACCTCTTTTGACACCTGGAATCAAAACAGGTATAAAAATTTACTTAAATCAACATTCTGCTTAGGTGGAGTCTATAAAGGGGTGCATTAGAGGTACATTAAAAGAAGAATGGTGAACAGATTTAAATTACTTGGGAATTCTATCAAATACACCCTCAAAAATGGTTTGGAAACAAAGCAGCTATGGGAAAGTAATGCGTAGGGGGAGGAATAGCAATTGAATGCAACTGCATGATAACAGAGGTAGAGACCAGCATATGGCTTGGTCACGTGAATATTTTTCATTTCTGAGCAATCTGGGAACTCTTTTGAAGTAAGACTTTAAGTTGTGTGTGCGTGTGTTCTGTAGCAGTCAGTTTCTTTAAAAAAAAAAAATAAATAAAATAAAATGTGTATGTTTTTTTCCTCCCTTTTCTCATTTGATTCAGTGTGGAGTTGAAAACATCAGAAGATGCGAGTCTCTTAATGGAAATCCACTGTTCTCTAAGGTATCTCCGGAGTTACAGCCCTTTTAGTAGAACATATCGGAGAGTAATCCTCTGAGAAACTCTTGCAGAATATTGGTTTTCTCACATATTAGAACATTTTGAGGTCCAATTAATTACAAAAATAAAATCGAATTCCTTACACTGTCACTCTTTTTTCCTCTAGATAGCCCCCATTTTCTGATTTCTACTCACCTATCGCTATGTCCGATTTAAAATCTGCCTTTCAGAGATGAATGAGGTTTAGCAGGCGGGGTAAGGATTTCACCCTGTCAAGTCTCTATTTAAGTTTTCTCCAAGCTGAGGATGCTTGGGAAGGAAAGATATTATAGAATGTGGTTCGAAGGGTTCATAATTCAGATTAAAAGACACTCCAAGCCATAGTGATTGTCGCGACAGATGGGAGAGGAAATGCATGGGCCGGGGCAGACGAGCAGCCTTTTGTCCTGACCAGCCTTTGCCTCTCGCCCGCCTCGCAGGCCCTGGCCGACCTGGTGCACTCGCACCTCCAGTCCAACGAGCTGTGCTCCAAGCAGCTGACCCTGAGCTGCCCGCTCTGCGTGAATCCCGTCTGCAGGGAGACTAAGTCTTTCTTCGCCAGCCAGCAGCTGTGACCCCGCCAGCGGGCCCCTGGGATCAGGCAGATGCCAGCCTCCAGACACCTCCGACGGGGACGTGCCCGAGGGTGCATTTAGCGCTCACGCACAGCCTTTGGACACACATCGTGTGGTTACTTGAGGAACGACTCTGAAATCCTTATTGGGGGTTTTCTATTTTTCTATCCCAACATAGTAAACACCTACATTCTCTCTCTTTGGGTAAAGTCACTCATTTTGGAATGGCCACTAGGCTATTTAACAAGTGAGTTTTAAAAATTTATCTTATGAGATGCACACATATTTAAATACAGATTTTGGTTTTATTGCCCAAAAAACCTGCATGGGGACTGAGAGTCCCTGCTGTGGGCTGTCAGTGTTTATAAGTCTCATGCATATAGTTGTTTTTTAAGTGAACGTAGTTGAGTAAATGCAATATAATTTGAAAAAGCAATGTTACCTAATCTCTCCTGAGCCCATGGGTTACAGAATGCTGGTGAGGAGGCGTGGTTGCCTACCAGGGCTGCTTTTGCCAGTGCTGGGACCATTAATGGTCATTTTGGTGCTTGTATGTACCCTCACTTTCCTCACCTTCAAACCAAATCAAGCGCAGATGCCAAAAGTGCTCTGAGCGCCCCAGGCACACAAGGCTAATAAACTTGTAGAAATCCAGCGTTGTCATCCGTGCCGGGGTGGGAATCTGTGTGCCACGGGAAGGGAGGCTCCTGCTCCCTCCTGTCCCCAAGGACGAGATGCCGGGAACGCTGATGATGGGATTCACTGTTCAAGCCCCTCCCAGGACCCATGAACCTTTCTCTCAAGCATCGTTATCTTGATTGAATGTCGCCTTTCTGCACATTTGTTTGAAGAATTATTTTATAAAGTCAACTGTGTATTGTAATCTTGAATTCTTAGTTTACAATTTTTAATTACAAAAATTATATGACCTGATAGGAAATTTGAAACAGAGAAGAGAGAAATAACCACTGTAATGCAACAGCTATTCATCACTCTCTTTCATGCCATTTTTTTCCTGTGGGTATTTTTAAGGCCATTGTAACCTTGAATTTGAGTGAAAAGTTCTAAAAATGTAGAAATAATGTAGGATCAGAGTCTGATCTTCTGTACTTGGATTTGAATGGATTAAAAGTCTGATGGATCCGTAATGAATTTGTAATGATCACTTTGTCTTTCCTCGTTGCTCTAAAACTTTACTCTTCAAAAGATTTTGTTCTTCTTTGATTTTGTAAAAATCCTGTTCATAAGGTGGGAGTATTAGTGGAGTCATAGGTCTTCTATATTCAGGACTTACAATATTAATCAATATTATGACATTATTAAGGTTTTAACCAGTTTGATTCATGCTCTCTGTTAAATCAAAACTAATCCAAATTAGTTAGCAATCAAAATTATCGAATAGGGATTTACTCTGTAATACAAGAAAAGAAACATACTGTCCCCTCTAGTTAATAGTTTGCTCACACTGATAACGGCTCTGAAATTTGAATAGCATCGATATATTTATTCACATCGGTTTTTGCTATTCATAGATTGTGTTTCCAGAGAAAGGGACCAGGCATAGGTAGTTCTTTAGAATTTTCCTCATCTGTTTCCATCAGCTTTTTCAGGATTAAGTTCAAAGCAGACTGAGTGACTGTCCCACATGAATTGAATTCTCTGGGTTAGTGGCCTAGTGCTGAAGACAGGTTATACTTGCGGCCATTCTCCCCCCTTCAGGAAATTTCCTGAGGGCCTATCTCACTTTGACTGCTTTAAAGTCTAATATATTATTATGGAGATGTTGCAGAAAACTCCAAGAGCTCTTCTAGGGCACCTGAAGCGCCTCCTTTACTAGGGAAGCTCCCAAATTAAGCGTGGGCTGTCTGGAGTAATATCCTTGATTCTGAGTTGGGACCGGACTGGCCTTTGCAGCGAGAGGCTAAGGGGGATTTATTGGGATCGCTCCCCATGGCATTCATTGTCCTGAGAAGTGTTGCCTTTGGGTTATTAACCAGAGATGGGTAAGGATCATACCAGAGGGTAGCATTTGGGAGGACAAACTCAGCAATTGCTCTTTTTAGAGCTAGTAGGCTTTGAGAATTGTTATCCTGTTTGTCAACTTTGAAATGCAAATGTTTGCCCTGCTAATTAGCAGTGTTGGCAGTTTCTTCAGGCTGCACTTAGGTGCAGACCTGGCTTTGATGAACCAACTTGTAGGGAAAACTTGCAGGAGCTGCGGTGATGAGGCAAGTAGCTTGCCGGGGTTACAGAAGGCCTGCCGCATGTATGTATAGCACAGAAGGAAAGAACTCTTCTTAAGAACATGCCTTCTAGAACTACTTTCCTTTTTAAAATTAAAATAGATTTTCGAATCCAAAGAAAAATTTGCTTCCTAACAGGAGAAATGAAACTTGTTACAAAACCCTTGAAAAGGTGTACCGGTGATGTGTGGGTGCTGACTGGATAGTCAAAATCCACGATTTTTCCTCAGGGTACACATCCTTGCTCAAGTAATCCCACACACAGGACCTAACATTCCTCCAGGATTCCGTTACATCTTTCCTTATGGCTGAAGTTAGTTAGGTGATGATGGTTATGTAGGTATGAAGAGAAAGTGGATTTTCTGCTCCAAGTTGCCCAAACAAAGCCTGTCAAAGGCACATTATATTAACAATCCTAAATTTATGTCATTTATGTATTTAGGTGCTCTTTAAAAATATATATTTTTTCTTCTTGGGGAAAATACATTGATTTAATGGGATGAGTCTCGAGTGAAGTCGCTGCATTTCCCCCCCCTTAGCTAATCTATTCTCATCAATTGGGCATTTAAATCAAGAAACCCTAGCTTTAGGTATGCAAGAGAGTGTTTGCTCAATTTGATGCCATTGTGTTCATCCAAAACATGTGATTACACCAGGAGGGTGAGCCCACACCGCAGAGTAGGGCCGCAAGAAGGCCACACCCTCCCACGGGTAGGTAAGCACGTGGGTCTGCAGTCCTCAGACTCTTCTGTGTTTGCTCATCCATTCTGGCCGGCTGGGGACCGGGTAAGGAACCAACTTGTGTAGCTGTAGCTGGAGGGAAGAATTTAGAGCTGACGGCCATAAGAAAAAACATGTGTGTGCATACGTGTGTGTGCACAGGTGCATTAGCCTGGAGCCGCTGACCGCATCTTTAGCACCACGTCTCCGAGCTCTTCAGCCTGAAAGACCCCCTCTGTCAGAATCCTGATGGTGGCATTAGGAACAGGCTTCCCAACATTAGGTGGAAATAGGAAATCCAGTGAGATGCCATAAGCTGGAAAAGAAAATTCTGAGTAGACCCTAAAATTAGTGCCCTAAGTTAAAATCATTCAGCTTCTCAGTCAAATTAGCAATATCCTCAGACCTCAGAGGGAGACAAAAGCTAATCATTTCTTTCATGATTTATAAAACTTATAAAATTAAAAACATTTCACCAAGGTCATGCCCCAGAGAGGCTTTATAAATATCATTCCAAGGAGTTTCATTCTTACTGCCCAATAATTGAGATTCCTTTGTAAGAAACCCCTTCAGTGACTTATTCTGTCCAGGTGGCTTTTTGTGACACATTTCATTTTATAGCAACAAGTGTTATAAGGTTTCAGAGAGCATACATTGAATGAATTAAACCTGATTATCGGAGGGATCGAGAAACCTGAATTCTGCTTGAGTCCTTGCCAGTTAAACTGTGCAGTCGTGTCGTCAGTATATTGAAGCTTCACGTGCTTACCCTCTATTAAATGGTGGCACCTGCAAACTAGATTTTTTTTTTCTCTTTTTCACTGGAATTCTTCCAGCTGGACAGTTTGTGCTATGACTCTGATTTGATTTTTTGCTTCTTTTCAAAATGCACTTGTGTTGAAAATATGAAGTGTGCTGAGCTCTGTGGCAGGCACGGAGCTGGGTGGTGGGTCCTGGTGGGTGCTCGAGAAATGAGCTGGTGCTGCCAGTACTTGCCGAGTGGCACCGATGCAGTGAGAGCGCGGGCGGTGCCCTTGTGGCATCACTGCCCCCTGCGTGAGCTGAGTCTCGGCTGAGCTCTGGGAAGGGGATGCCCCCCAGGGAACACATAATATTGCAGGGGCCCAGGAGAGGAAGAAATGCTTTTGCTTTCAATGTGGGGATCTGATTAAGCCTTTCTACAGGGAAAGGGAAGTAGAAAACAAATGCACCCTGTGATAATCAGTTTCTTACAATAAATATGCTTTGATAGTGCTGGCTTAGTTGTTTTTAGCTGAAATCATTAGCTTCTATTTTTAGTATAACAACTACTGGCTAAATTAGTCTACAGTAAACCATTAAGATGGATGTTGGAATTAAAAACATTTTTGGAAAAAAGCCTGGTTTGAGCCTTTGTTAGGAGCCCTCGGGCAGGAATTGGGTCCTGTTTCTGGTCGCTTCAATGTTCTCCCTCTGACCTCCAGGCATATGGTCTCAGCAGCCTGCTCCCGAAACGGGAACACACAGGCCAACTTTTCTCCTTCCCGTCTGCCCTACGGTTGAAGCTTTACTTTCCTAACATGTTTAGAAATAATAGATTTTGCCTTGAGAATTCATAAAATGTCCTGTATTTTTATCTTTTCCTTACTTAAAAAAAAGTTATATGTATAGGACACGATAGGCTGTGCAAGTGTACAAGCCGATTGTTCAACTTTCAGGTTGCGAAACAGCCATCATTAAAAATTCTATCATTTGCAATTAAATTGTATTAAAAACAAAGGTAACATAAACTTCACCACTTCCCAATTATTTTACTCTGTTTTATTATCTTTGCTCTAGAGGTTACTTATGTCAATTGGACCTATATGGTGAAAATACTATATAATGACCACCTACTGTGCCTCTTTCCAACTTTGTTTTGTGACATCAGATTGGTGGCTTGAAATTGGTCCCTGTAGGACTAGTTACACTGTGGAACTCAGCAAATACTACAAATGAGGACTTGATTGTTTTGTTGATTGTCTAGACTTAAGAAAACGATGGAAGAAACAGTAGTAATGCAGATTAAAAGTTGTGTCTNTGATTGTTTTGTTGATTGTCTAGACTTAAGAAAACGATGGAAGAAACAGTAGTAATGCAGATTAAAATTTGTGTCGGTAGCCAGCACATTGGGAATAGCACCAAAACTCGAGGAAATATTCTTCAATTATTTGAAAACTATTATCCAATTTATCCAAGTGAAGTTTCGACATAGAAAGATGTTGTTTCACGTTTGCCTTACTTGTTAATGTAAACGTTCATAATAATGTAAACATTGATGTCAGGACTATATGGTTGATCTGTTGCAACCATAGGCTGTTATACAGATACAAGAACTTGGTAAAAATCAACAAAAGCGTTTTTTTGGGAATCCATTGACTATAAGGAATTTATAGTAAAGAGTACTGTGTTTTATTATTACTTGCAAATTATGTTTTTAACTCTTTTATACAGGTAAAATGTGTAGCAAACATACACTCACACATATATGCATAGGTTGTATTTTCAGAGCGCTGGTTGGTGACCATTTGCCAGCACACGACTGCCCAAGAGGGAACTTTCCTGGGACGATGGAAATGACACGTGGATCGCGTCCCTGTGCTGTTCTCCGGACTCATTCTAGAGAGAGGCAGCTCTATACATACAGCACTGTTTATTTAGAGTGGAAGCCACCCCAGGGTGACTAGATATTTTAAGCTTTTTAGTAAGATTCCAATGGTCTCCAACACAGTCCCGTGGGCCTGCTGTATGAACAGAATCCCCGCGAAGAACTTTTAGGTGGCAAAGGCCTAAAGAGCGGGGCTTCTCCCGCTCCTCATCTCGCTGGGCCCTGGAGAACCGTCACAGGGAGAGTCACACGCAGCAGTGCGGTGAAGGTCAGCGGTGGTTCTCTGGTCTCACAGGGATGGTTTCTTCCCGTCCATCCTTCTAGTGGGCCAGACCTTGACACCCGTGACTTCCAGAAAGCATGAGATCGAGCCCGGCGTCCAGCGCTGGCCCAGAATGCCGCCTGGTGTCCCCACTGAACCCAGCCACCCTCTCAGCCCGGTGTCTCTCCCTACCACCTTTGGTTTCCCAGTTCCTATTTTTCCTGAAGCAAAGCGATCTTTCCTCTGGGCTGGGCTCTGCAGAGGAGCAGTTTCTTTTGTTTGTGTCTTTCTCATGTT